GGGGCTCCCTGAGGACAGGGCTGTGTCCCCCTCAGACTGGGGCTCCCTGAGGGCAGAGCCGTGTCCCCCTCAGACTGGGGCTCCCTGAGGGCAGAGCCGTGTCCCCCTCAGACAGGGGCTCCCTGAGGACAGGACTCTCTTCCCCTCTCTGTTCGCTCCTACTCTCAACATTTCGGATGTCCCGGAAGGGAGGGTGGCACACAGGCTCCCTTTGCTGGGACTGTGACCTCGCAGGCAGCCGGGTCCTTGCTCCAGGCCCTGGAAGGGCTTCCTGGGGGAGATCAGAGAGGCCGGGCCCAGCGCTGCTTCCCTGGCCTTGATCTGAGGAACAAAAGAAGCCAATTTCCAGGCTGCGAGCGGACAGCTGAGGGTTTCATGCTCTTTGGGGGAAATACATTTGCCTGTTGGACAATATCTCTTTGAGCTCCCAGAGGCCGAAGGTGGAGAAAACGCGCTCGGGGTCTGCCTGTGCCCGGGGCCCGGGGCCTGCCTGGGTGGAGAGCCTGGTGCCCCCCCCAGCTTCTCCCTGCTGCTGCCTGTGGGCACGTCCCTCCCCCTCCCTGAGCCTCAGGGGCCCCCGTGGATCAGGGGAGGCTGTGTGAGAGGAGGATGTTGTTGCCGTGGGGAAACCGAGGCCCAAAGACCAAGAGTCCTGACATATGGTATCTGGACTGGTTATCGGGACCGTGTGCGTGCGCATGTGCATGTGTGTGCATGTGTGTGCATGTGTGCATGTGGATGTGTGCATGTGTGTGTGTGTGCATGTGTCTTATTTAAACATGGTTTCTGGGGCCCTGCCCAGACCTACACAATCAGACTCCAGAAATGGGCCCAAGAATCTGCCTTCTGATAGTGGGAGAGGGAGGAGGCCCAAGAATTGAGAGGCCCACTGGCGGACGGTGTGGATGAGGTGAGGGGTCACAGAGGCCTGGAGGGTCCCCCAGAAAGAGAGGCCAAGGGGACGCCCGAGGCTGGGGTGACGGGGAGGTCCCAGCCAGTGGGGCACTCCAGCCACTGCACAGGGGGCCGGGACTGTGTGTGCACATTGGGGGTGGGCTCCTGGGGCTGGTGAGGTGGAGGTGGCTCTGTCAGCCGTCCTGTCTCTCCTTGGTCCCCAAGTGAGCCCAAGCACCCACATGGGCGTGACTGCTCTGCTCAGCACCTGGCCCAGCATGACTGACATCGGACAAGCCTCACTGCCCACAGCTGTCCTGAGGGAGGAACTGCTTTTAGCCCCACTTTACAGATGGGGAAACCGAGGCACAAGGAAGGCAAGGAACTTGTCCAGATCTGGGATGTGGACCCAGCATGTCTGGCTGCAGCCCATGCACTTAACCATTAGGCTCTTGAGCTAAGAGGAGGCATTGGGGCTCCGCTGCGCATGGCCAGGCGCCTCGCTGGTCAGGAGACAAGGGCCTCGCTCACCCATCTGGCTGTGGTCTGCCTTCATCCACCCCGTTCGCCAGGCCCCTGCTCTGTGTTGGGGCTGGGCTGGCCCGAGGCAGAGGCGGGGTCGCTGTCCTGGAGGAGTGCACACCAGCGGGAGAGGCAGGTGAGCCCTGCTGTGCAGCCCGGGACGTGCTGAGTCCCAGCCAGAGGCTGCACAGCACAGCCAGAGAGCTCAGGGCAGGAGAGGAGCCGGCTGCTGGTCATGCGCAGGGGAAGCCCCAGGACAGGCTCCGGCGAGCAGGAAGGATAGGGGTGGGTCTGGAAGGATGACCTCAGCAGCGTGGAGGGCAGAGCTTGGCATTACTCTTGGCTGCGTGGCCCAGGGTGCAGTGAGAGGCCTGAAGCACTGGGCAGGGAGCCACCGAAGCTGGGTGGCTGGATCCTATTTCTTAGCCCAGCTGTGTGCCTCTCACCCAGCTGGGAGGGTGGGCAGAGCCCATCTACTTCTCCTCTTTGAAGATAAGGTGCTCTTTCTCTCCCCCCCCCCCCGCCCCCCCTCCCCTAGGCTGAGATCCAGGATCTCGCTGTCTTTCTTACTAGCCTAGACATGACTACATCTGAGTTCCAGACCAGACTCAGAGGGGACCCAGGCCTTGGAGAAGCCACTTGGCCTCTCTCTGAGCCTACATTCCTGATTTATAGAGGGACTGGAAAAGCCGACCGCTGCACCCCTTCCAGCTGGACCATTCTAGGGTTTATATAATTACTAGAGGCCCAGCGTGCACGAAATCATGCACAAGTAGCTCAGGTGGCTGCCTCGCCCATCGCTGCTAGTAGCTCGCTGCCCCGCCTTCTGCGGCTCATAGGTCTCCACCACTAGTAGCTTATGCCCCGCCCTGCCCCCCCCCCCCCCCCCCCCCAGAGAGCTGCTGCTCGTTTGGTCTTGAAGGCCTGACGGCCACAAGCCTTTTAAATAAGAGACAGAGCTTCATGACAGCATTCAAAGAGGAACCTCAGCACGCGCTCCGGGAGAGAAGTCCCGGCCCCAGCCCCCTTCTCACTTTCCCACTCCTCACCCTGCCCCGGGTTCCACCACCGTGGAGCCCTCTTCGGGGCTAAGGCATGGTGTCTCTGGTTTAAATCAAGAGGGACGCTCCTGCCTCCAAGCCCAGCACACTGCAGGGGAGCAAGGTCAGCCCGGGGACAGGCCCGCCCGCCTCGGAGGGGTGAGCATCTGCAGTGGTCTCTGACCTGCAGCCCCTGCTACCTACCTTTCAGAGCTGCCTCGCCTATCACTTCCTCTGGTGCTCACTGCCAGGGCTGGGGGCTTTGTCAGACGGTTGCCAGAGTGACAGCTGGCTGGGAGCAGGTTGGTGGAGGGGCGGTGGGGCCAGCAGAGGGGTTGTGTGCCACTGGGGAGAGACTGGAGCGGAGGGTGGGGATTTGGGGATCCCTCTCAGAGACATCTCTGGGAATCTGTGAGGACTGGAGCTGAGTGACTCATGAGCACAATCTGGGGCCGCCCCAGGCAGCGGGGGATGCCATGTGCTCGTGCCAGGTTGCTACTACAGCTGTCTGTCTGTCTGTCTGTCTGTCAGTAGGCCTTTGGCTCCCAAGTCAGGGCGATTGAGTTGAGTGTGGGGTCAAGTTGCCCAGACAAGCTGTCGCTCCTGGTGGTTCTGGCGATGCGGACGCAGGGTCAGAGCTTCTAGACCAGTGGTTCTTAACCTGTGGGTCGCGCCCCCTTTGGCGGTCGAACGTCCCTTTCACAGGGGTCGCCTAAGACCATCCTGCATATCAGATATTTACATTATGATTCATAACAGTAGCAACATTACAGTTATGAAGTAGCAACGAAAATAATTTTATGGTTGGGTCACAACAAGAGGAACTGTACTTAAAGGGCCAGAACAGTGGTTGGCAAACTGCGGCTCGGCAAACTGCAGCTCGCGAGCCACATGCGGCTCTTTGGCCCCTTGAGTGTGGCTCTTCCACAAATTACCGACTTCTGCACATGGGCCACTAAGTATCAATCCCAGTGTACGTGCGTGCCCACACGTGGTATTTTGTGGAGGAGCCACACTCAAGGGGCCAAAGAGCCGCATGTGGCTCGCGAGCTGCAGTTTGCCGACCACGGGGCCAGAAGGTTGAGAACCAGTGTTCTAGACCTTTCTGTCTCTCCCACTGCTTGCTGTGGGGAGTGGCCACTCCCTGCCCTGGGCCCCTGCTCCCTCCTCAGGGCCATCAGCTCTGACATTTGGGGCTGGCTGTTAGGAAGCCACACAAACCCGTGCTGAGTGTTTCTCCTCTTTGGGAAAGGGGTGGAGGGGGCACGGAGGCCCTGGGGGAGTGTGGGAATGGAGAGGAGACACGGGAGGTGACCCCGGGCATCTGGGAGGGAGGGGGGACAGGCTGAGATGGCTGGCCGGGTCAGAGCTTACCGTTAGGGCAGTGTGAAAAGCAGGGCGGGGGTGGGGGGACAGCTCCAGCAGGCAGGGGGGCTTCAGGGATAGGGCGTGGGGGCTCTGTATGAGCAGGTTTCCTGGGCTCTGGGAGACTGGAGCATGCCTCAGGGGTGGATGTGGGGAGGAGAGTGAGGAAGCCAGTGTTTATGTCCCAACTCCTGCGCGCCATTGGTTGAGGGCTGCCCTCGGAGCGAAAACTTCCTGGTGTTTGCAGCCCCCCAGCCAGAGAAGGCCCCGGAGAGTGGCAGGAGGAAACCATGTGTGGGTGCAGGGCCAGGGACGGCTGAGAAGGCAGCCCAGGGCAGCCACCACCTTGGAGACTGGCACTTGTCTGCATTGTACAAGTGAGGAAACAGCTCGGAGGGTTCGAGGGACTTCCTGCGTTGCTTTCTGCCAGCTGCAGGTCACTGAACTCGGCACACAGATGTGCAGGACAGGCCCTTGCCCGATCCCTCCGCTTCCACATCTGTAAGATGGGAGGATGCCTGCCCAGGACTGACCCTGAGGGCAGCTGCTGCCTGCAGAGCACTTAGCACAGTGCCTGGCCCGACACCTGGCCCATCCCCTGCGGCTCTGTGAGCCGGAGCTGAGTGCACAGAGGCAGGCAGGAGGGCTCACACCTGTCAAAGGCCTCTCACTCCCCCAGCGCGGTCCATCGTCTGGCTGAATGCCTTCAACCTGATTAGCAGGGTCGTGTGTCAGCTGTGGCCTTGACCAGATGGGTCTGCATCCCTGGGAGGGATAGTTCATTAATCCGTCAGCACAGAGGAGATGGCGGAATCAACTGGCTGTAAGTAGGGCCCTGAGAGAATAGGACCCTGGATGGATGCGTTTTGACAGCTTGATTTTATTTGTTGAGAGACAGAGATGCGGTAAGAGGAGCTTCTAGTCCAGGCCAAGACATTGGGCAAAGAGCAATGTGGCCCAAGAACGAGGGGCTGAGGGACCCAGGGCGCCAGCGTGTGTGAAAGGTGGGGTGGGTGGTGGGGAGCCACACCCGTAGGCAGCTGAGCCGAGGACCCCCCTGCTCGCCTGTGGGCTGCAATGAGCCAAACAAACGGAGGCGGCTTCGGGCCTCAAGAGGCCCTGATCCCCCAAAGCCCCCTCCTGGGCTCTGCTAACTCCTCCTCTCTCCCCTTCTTGCAGGAACCTTTTGGACAAAGACATGTTTTCCAAGTCTGACCCACGTAAGTCCTGCTCTGACAATAGTAACAGTGGCAACGGCATTGTGGCGATGGCAGCGGCCAGCCCCTGAGTCCTCGCTGAGCGTCAGGTGTGGTGGAGGGTGGTGGGTCCCGGTGCTGGTCCAGGCTGCTCTCACGAACACTGTCTGAGAAAGGACTGGGCGGCTGGCCCTCCCAACCCCCACACTTATGAAGCCTCAACACAGCGTTTCAGGGCCCAAAGTTTCCAGAACCAGGGAAACCAGTACGTTTAAGAGCCCCAGTTGGCTGTGGTCCAGGGGACCGAGCCCTGATTTTGGAGCCCAGGGTTCTAGCCCAGAGAAGTGCCACTCAAGTATGTGGCCTCACGCAGGCCATGGGCCTCCTCCGAGCCCATCGGTGAGGGGGCTGGTGACAGTGACAGGGTGCCCTGAGCCCTAGGGATGATGGGGGTTTCAGGTGCTCTCCTGCCCCACCTCTGCCACCAAGTCACCCCTCATGCCCACCTGTCTGCCTGCTGCACACTTGCTCAGGCTGAGATGCCAACGGCCCTGACCCCCTCCCCGGAGGGCCCTCCTCCCAGGCACACGGATGTTCTAGGCCCCCTTCTCCAAGCTGAGGATGCCCAGACCCCACCCTGCCACCCAGGCCCACTCTCCCGAGGCCCCGCCCCCGAGGCCCTGCCCCTTCAGGGCCCTCTGCACAGGGACACCCCTTCTCTTGGCCTGTGTGGCTTGTTAACCCTTTTTCCCTCCTCTCCCCACAGTGTGCGTCATGTATACTCAAGGGATGGAGAACAAGCAGTGGAGGGAGGTAGGTCCCGCCCCTTCCCCACCCAGACACCAGCCTGGCCCTGGTGGGAGTCTGCTTGTCCCTGACGGCAGTCACCTGACTCTGGAGACAGCCCCCCCATGCTCATAACTGCAGCCTCTGAGCCTGAGAGAAGACGAGTGAGGTGTGCAGAGGGGGTACTCGTCCCCGCTGCTGCAGGAAGAGTCCAGGAGAGGACTGGAAAGTCCCTGCCCTCGGGGAGCCCCCGTCTGAGGGGGAAAAAGCCCTGTCCTCGGGGAGCCCCCGTTTGAGGGGACACAGCCCTGTCCTCAGGGACCCCCATCTGAGAGGGACACAGCCACCTCAGAAGAAGTGATCTGGTGCCCTGACAGCCGTGGGCATGGCCGGCAGCACCGTGTCCCTCCCTGGCAGCCGTCCGGGTCCTGACCAGTGTGAGCGGTCCGTCAGGTGAACCCCCTGCCCACTAATCTTCATGCCTCCCCTCTGCTCTGAATCAAGTCCCAGCCCCTCAGCCTGGCTTCAGGCTCTGCCAGAACTGGGGAGTCCCTCCCTGATGACATGGTGAGGGGGAGACCAGCCAGGAAACTTCAGGACCTCAGGCCTTGTCCCCACCCTCATCCTCATGGGTGGGCGGCCAGGGCCCCTCCTCCCTGCCCCGGCCTCCACCCCCACCCCAGGTGTGGCAGGAGCAAGTGGCCGAAGGGCTGCCATTCACCGGCAGTGTCTGGGAAATGCCTGCAAGGTGGTGGGGGGTGTTGGGCTGTTTACTCTTTCACTCTCTCCAAGACCACGCCAATTAGAGCGTGGACCCCATCACGGGGAAGCCGTGATCCGGTTTAAAGGGACTAATTACTTCTGAGGCCTTCGGGCCAAGCTTCACAGAAAGCGGGTAATTCATTCAGGAAAGGGGGGGCGGCGCTTCCGAATGGTACTCCTCCAGCCTGGCCAGTGTCCACTCGGGGCTGGTCTGGGGCTGGGCTGGGGCTGGTCTGGGGCTGGGGCTGGGGCTAGGGCTGGGCTGGGGCTGGGCCTGGGGCTGGGGCTGGGGCTGGGGCTGGGCTGGGCTGGGCTGGGGCTGGGCTGGGCTGGGCTGGGGCTGGGGCTGGGCTGGGGCTGGGCTGGGGCTGGGCTGGCTGGGCTGGGGCTGGGCTGGGCTGGGGCTGGGGCTGGGCTGGGCTGGGCTGGGGCTGGGCTGGGCTGGGGCTGGGCTGGGCTGGGCTGGGCTGGGCTGGGCTGGGCTGGGCTGGGGCTGGGCTGGGGCTGGGCTGGGCTGGGCTGGGGCTGGGGCTGGGGCTGGGCTGGGGCTGGGCTGGGCTGGGGCTGGGCTGGGCTGGCTGGGGCTGGGCTGGGCTGGGGCTGGGGCTGGGGCTGGGGCTGGGGCTGGGGCTGGGGCTGGGGCTGGGGCTGGGCTGGGGCTGGGGCTGGGGCTGGGCTGGGGCTGGGGCTGGGCTGGGCTGGGGCTGGGGCTGGGCTGGGCTGGGCCTGGGGCTGGGCTGGGGCTGGGGCTGGGCTGGGGCTGGGGCTGGGCTGGGGCTGGGGCTGGGGCTGGGCTGGGGCTGGGGCTGGGGCTGGGGCTGGGCTGGGGCTGGGGCTGGGGCTGGGCTGGGGCTGGGCTGGGGCTGGGGCTGGGGCTGGGCTGGGGCTGGGGCTGGGGCTGGGGCTGGGCTGGGGCTGGGGCTGGGGCTGGGGCTGGGGCTGGAGCTGGGCTGGGGCTGGGGCTGGGGCTGGGGCTGGGCTGGGGCTGGGGCTGGCTGTGGCACGGGCACCGCAGAGGGCAGATGGGGGGCTTGTGTCAGCTGCACCTGCGCTGTGATCCTGGCTCCAGCCTGTTCTGGAGGTGGGGCCTCAGGCAAGGGGCTTAGCCTGTCTGTGCCTCAGTTTCCGCACGTGTAACATGGGGTTAGCAGCACCTACCCTGCAGGCCTGTGGCGGGAATGGAACAAGATGGGGCGTGGCATCCTGGGCGTAGTCCCTACTCGGTAAATATCATTGAGCAGCATCGTCCGGAGCCTTGCCGGGCACAGCCCTGTCTCAGTCAATATTTGCAGCAGGAGGCATTGATGGGGTGCCGGGCAACAGCCCAGGTGCGGGTGGCGGGAGAGGGAGCCGGGCAGGGAGCGTCACAGGCGCGAATAATCCTGCCAGGAAGCGTGAGCGGTATCGGTGCAGAGAGAGCGGGAGTTCGGAGGGGAGAGTTACAGCCGTGTTAATAGCTCACTGGGTTTTTTAAATGGGACTTGATTGAACACAGCCCTCTGGCTAAGGAGTGCGCGATGTAGAGAAGGGGAGGATGTAGGTCAGAGGGAACTTCAGGGATCAACCTCCTCATTCCCTGAGGGACAGGATGGGGCCTCCGGGGGCTGAGCCAGGGCGCTAGACCCCGCTGCAGTGGGAGTGTCCCCTGGGGAGCTGGGCTTCAGTGGAGCTGGGGATGCGGGGTCGGGGGAAGTGGGGGGGACACAGCACAGGGGCCCTACAGCAACGGTTCGGGAGGTGGCTGGAGTGAGAGGCCAGTCCCGGTTTGGGGTAGCTGGGGATGGATGTTATAAAACAGTGGGCAGGTTTTAGGGAAGCCGTGGGGGTGATGAATCATGAGGCGGCAGCAGTGGACAGCCTGAGGGGTAAGGGGGCTTCAGGGCAGAAGCAGGAGCCCCCAGTGGAGGGACAAGGTCAGCCAGGAGCCTCACTCCCTTCCCACCTCTGCTCTCTGCCTGCGCCCATTGGTGGACCCACAGGCAGGCCTCAGGGTGGGGAACGTTGATGCGGTAGACACTGGTCAGCCTCCGGGCACAGATCAGGGTGGAGAGGGCAGGGGTGGGTCCAGAGGGGTGAGTGGAGACACCCAAGCAGACATGGAGCAGGTGAGCGAGGCTGGCATTCGGGGTGTGGGCTGAACGATACAGGAAGAGGTGGGGGCCCTGGGGTCAGAGTTCAGAGCAGGAGGGTCTCCATAGGTCAAGGAGACTGACCCCGTGTCCGAGAGGCCGTCAGCACCATGTCCAGCCTTCAGGGGTAAGTGGCAGGGCTCAGCCACAGGTACTGTTGTGGGGGGGAGGGGAGAAACCCTCCCCCCGCCCCGCCCCCCCTTCTTGAGTTTTTGGACTCCCAATAAAATTGGCACAAGACCAGATGAGCAGGAGAAATACCGACTTGACGTGTGTGCATGGCAGGCCGTAAAAGATGACGCGCTCCGAAATGATGAACCAGCCGTCTTTTTACATTTTTTAGGCAAAGAAACAAGACATTTGTGAGGAAATGGCAGGACTAAGACATTTAGGTTTGGGCGCTCATCCCTGAGGAACCTAACACTATCTGGGCTTGGGTTGTAAGTTGGGAAAGCAGGACAAGCTTCCTTGGGCAAGCTTTTCAGCCCTGGATTCCCTGACTCTGGTGATAAGGGCGTCTCTCAGCCGCCCTGCAGCCAGGGGGCACTTTTAATGGAAGAGAATTCTTTCCCACAATGGCTGCTTGTCAAGTAAGTTTAATTCCAAGTCACCGATATGTCACTATGGGGCATTTGGGGTGGCGGCAGTCCCCCCCCTTCCCTCCCCCCCCGCCCCCCCAATGCAGGCTTCACGCTGTTTGGGAAGAGAAGATGCACTCACACTCATCGAGGTCCTACTTCTTGCCGATTCTCTGTGACCCCAGAGGAAAGCCTCAGGAATGGAGAACGTAGAGAAAAATCCGGGCCCCTCCCTATGGACTGGCCCCGGGATGGAAGGCCGCCCTTGCGGGCAAACAGAAAGCCGTCGCCACCACGTGCTCATTGCAAGCAAGCGTCTGCACCTGGGCGATGCACCCCATGGCCAGCGGGGTCAAGTGCGGCCCAGGGTTCCCCCAGGCAGGGCCTGACCCCGGCTTGGCTCGCACAGGCCGCAGAAGGATGAGAGCTCTTCTCGCAGCCCCTGGCTGCCGGGTTCAGCTGATTTTAACCATTTAGGTCATTTTAATGCCTTCTGAGAAAGCTCCATCTTCCCAGCACCTAAATCTGTCACCACATTTTATGAAAATTGACTCGAGATGTGATTTTAGCCCAGGAAGTCGAGCACTATTTGCATCAAGGCTTGGCAGGGCCCCCGCTGTCCGGGGGGAAGCAGGGTGGGGAGGGTCCCAGGAAAAGTGTGTGTGTGGAGGGGTGATCCTGGCCTCTCCCCTGCCGGTGGCTGTCCTGGCCGAGGGCCCCTGGGTAAGGAGGAGACGGGTAACGGGGTGTCCCGCTGATGGGCCCCTACCACCTGCAGGGCATGTGGCCCAACCGGCCGGCCCACACATCCCGCCAGAGCGCTCAGTCTATTTCTGAGCACCTCAGCCCCCTGGACATTTAACACCGCGAGGATGACGGCTCATCGCTAAGCACTGGGAATAATCTCCCCGGAGCACCTTGCTGTGTGCCTTCACGTCACTGTGACTCCGTGAGCCTGTGCTGGCACCTGCTGAGTGGCAGGGAGGACGCTGGGCACACGGAGGGCACCGGTCACTGTTCACAGCCAGCAGGGCCCGCTCTCAATCGGGGAAACAATACAGCAGCAGCAGAGCTGGCAGCAGTCGCTTCTGGAGCGGTAGGTGCCGGGCTCCGCTCCGAGCATGCCCACAGTCTCTCACTGAATCCTCGCCGCCGCCCTGGGAAGGCGGTAGTATTATGGTTACTCACTATTATTATTGGTCCCATTTCCCGGGGGAGGAAACTGAAGCACAGAGAGGTTAGTGTGAAAGAGGCTCTAACCATGACGTTGTTGAAACGGTAAAAGTTACACGCAAAGGGCACCATTCCGCTCGTTCCGCGTTCTGCCCCCTTCGATGGACACCGTTAAGTTGGTTTTCTCTTCCACGTGTCCTTTCCCTCAATATTTGAAGACTGCTCACAGGCCCTGCCAGTCTGCTTGGCAGCAGACGTAGACTGGGGCCTTTTCTATCAGTAGTTCCTGTTTATACCACTGTCTTTTGCCCCTTTGCCAATCCAGGCACCCCCCCCCCCCAAGCACACCCGTTTATTCTTCATTGTCCTTTCCCAAGTGTGTGTC